CAGCTTTCATAGCAAAGCCGCCTGCGCTCAGAGCCGCAGCTCGCCTGCGTCCACCGATGATGATGTGCAGCAGAACAGTTCGCCCATGGCCTGGCGGTCTTCGCAGCAACATCCGAATCGCACTGACAGCTAGTTGGGGCCGCTGCTTCGAAGAAACCAAGAGCCGCTCTTCGCTGCCACGCGGCCTGCCACTGCCAACATCCATGAACCAAACAGGTCAAAATGTGCAAGGGTCGTGAGCCCCGCGATGCATGGTCCGAACTTGCGCGCTCCGTCAACTTTGGCTGCACGGGCCTTGTCGTGGACGGCCTGCAGCATCTTCATCATGGTTTCGTCTAACTGCCGTCGCCGTTCCTGCACAGATCAAGCCATTGGAGCCACAGCCACAGGGCACGCGATGGTCATTCGGACCTGGCCTCCCGATTGACAGACAAGTGGCTCGGGTACTGGTCTGGCTGGAGCGTGATATCCGTCCAATATATATACTCCCAGATAAACATCCTGCATCCAAAAGGCTGCAATGCCCTACCCGCCCCTTGAACCATAGATCTGCATGACGACGGGGTTGTTGCCGCCGTTCTCTCTGCCGGCCGCGAGAAGCCGCAGGCACGGGCGATTTCTGATCATATGTTTGCATGCATGCATGCATGCATGCATGCATTCATGCGCCTTCGCACGTTACAGTCATTAGCACGGGCAGGCAGGCCAGACTGACTGCCCGAAAGACAGACTGACAGACTGACAGACAGGCATGCGGCTCCATCTCACCTGGTTGACACAACAAAGGAATCTTTGGCCACCTGGCGTCGTGCCACTTGAAACGCATGCTTCCTACATAACTGCCTATGCCTGTGCGGATTTGTGCTGCACCAAATCCCATCTTGGCTTCAGGAACTTGTGCTTGTTGTCGTCGAAAAGAATGGACATTGTCAGAGCCTTGTGAGTTGGGTTGGGAGGTGCTGCGCACTCGCAACCGGGAATCCAAATCACAATTCAATGGATTTTGAATTTCCCGCGCTTTCAACCCTGACGCAGAAACCCTCAGCTCGAAAAGCGACGTGAAGCCAGGACACCCCCACGCTCTTTTGCTCACATTGATTTCATCGTGGCTAACTGAATTTGGATCGCCTTGCCATGGCAAAGCCTGTGAAAATGTAAACTGGCTTTGCAATTTGTCCCCGGAGCTGGCGTGTCATGCCACACTCCTGAGGAAAGATATCTTTTGGTGTGCCGATGGGTTCCACAGTTCTGCTACATCTCATCCAAGGCAAAGCTGCAGCAGTCTCTGCACGAAACATGGCGAACTGCGACTCCACAGGGCATCGTCACCGGATGAGGCTCCACATCCGACGGGCCACCATCCGAACCATCGGAAGGTGCACGTTCTTTGTCTTTCCACAGGGGAGGCTGTGTACAGCTGGGGCTGCAACGATGATGGGGCCCTGCAACTTCGCAAATGCTTTGCCCGAATAGGGAGTTCAAGAGCGTGGGCTTCTTGCGCTCTCGCATATCATCGCCCAGACCGAGCTGATCGCATTCGCCACTTCCATGGACAAAAACATCTCCGATTACTACTTTTCGAAACCGCATGTGGCAGCACCCATGCTGCTGCCGCTCTGGCCAAAGCTGCTGCCGAAGCCGCTGCAAAAGCCACTGCCAAAGCCACCCACAAAACCTGCAGATGTGCCAGCGCAACCAGATTGCGCCGGAGTGCGTGCGCCGAACTCGAAAACCACTGACGCAGCCATGCCTGTGCCAAAAGGCGTGCCACTTGTGCTGCCCCCACCCCCAAAACCAGCCTGTCGGTTGTGCATCCGAAGAGCTTCGAAACATGGCTACGGTTGAGGCCCTGTGTGCTTCCTTCTCGGCCTCAATCTTGGCTACATCTTCTTCGGAAAACCCAGGCTTGTAGCTTTCACAAGCCTTGCATTGGATCGTGGTTCCATCCCAACGCAAGGAGCAGGTGTCGCACTGCGACTTGCCATCATCCAAGTTCGGGAAGCCCGCGAAGCTGTTTTCCTGAGGCGGCACCATGATTTCATCGATCACCGACCCAGCCGTGCCTGCTCCACAGGCCGGGCTACTTCCGCTCGAAGCCCCGAAACCAAAGCCTGCCATCATATACGCAGCAGAAGTCCCAGGAGCGAGGATGAGCATGCCCGCATCATCTGCGACTTCCTTCTCCGTGGTTCTCCTCTTCATCGGCGTCTCCGAGGCTGGATCGCCACTGCTGTACTCGCCGCCCCATGCCAGGTCCACGCTGTGCTGAGCTCCCCCACCTGCCACAATCACAAAGCGCTTCTGCCGCTGTTCCGAAGACACCTGGTAGGGTCTCAGCTCATCCGTGGGCTCCTCATCTGCATCCGTAGGGCTTGACACGTCACGTGGCCGGTTGGCCAACCCATGCGTCAAGCCACAACCCCACACAAATAGGTCTCCGCCCTCCGTGCTGGCCAACATGTGATGGGCTCCACAATACAGCGCTCGCACTCTCGACCTCGACAGCCCCTCAAGATCTCGAGGCCGCAACACCGGAGGGTCCTGTAACAATGGAACAGAATGCGTTCTCATTCAAGCCAGTTAAACTAGTCCAGCATCCTGCATGCAGCTTAATGTCAGGCTTGCGGGTGTGGTCTGGTGGGCGCGTGTGCCGGTGCAGAGGCTCGGGAGTGGCTGGGGAACTATCATGATGAAGAAGGTAAACCAAAAAGATCTGAAGAAGATCAACAAAAACGGAAGCTCGCACTTGCCTTCTCCCCCAAAGCAATACCGCATTCCTCTGCCTTGCCCCAACTGTTCATGCGTCCACCCACCAGCGCTGCCGTGCTGTGCAGTCCACCGCCTATCCAGGAAGCGCTGCGCAGAGTGGGCACGGCCTGAAGCTGCACCTGCTCCGCCAGGGAGCGATCGGAGAATCCACAAGCGTCTTGCAGTTCAAGCTGTCCCGTGGCGTTCGAGCCCCAAGCGAAGACTTGATTGTGGCCACTCGGAGCTACTAATGTCACCGCGCCACTTGCCACTTGCAGGCATCCCGCCAGGACCAGCGGTGGTTCTGCACCCTTCTCCAAGACCTCCTTTTGCTGATAGTCGTGGGAATCCCGGCACGTTGCCCATAACCAGACCCGACGCTGCTCATCCAATGCACAAATGTGGCAATCTACTGACGACGACGTTGCCGCTCTCGTCGTGGCATGTCGAAGCTTTCTTCCATGTCGCGTTCGTACGCGTCGTGGATGAAGCCTCGGCAGCCGAAAGAAGGCTAACGACGGTTTTAGGAGCTGGTGGGTGTGGGGTGTGGGGTGTGCGGTGCGGGGTGGTCTGAATGCACAGGCGGTCATGCATTCACGAGATTGACGACATACATGACCCGGGCAGCGAGCCAGCCTACTTAGAACATCTTAGAACGAAATAGGGATGGTGTTGTGGACGTCGGCTCATCTAGACTACGTAGATGCACTTCCACGAATCGCCGCAGAGTGTGGGGCGTGCGGTCTTTTCGGCTTCATACGGTTTCGCCGTGTTTTTGCTCCAAGACATCCGAGAGTCGTCAGAGGGGAGTGGGGGCTGGGTGGGGTGGGTGTTCAACAACCTGCGTCCCCCTAAGGCCGAGGCAGCAACAATGCCAGAGCCATTCCCACCAAGAGATCCTCCCAGCGCCAAAGCATGCCAAAGTTCTATGAAGGAAAGGTACTAACGCGCTTAGGCCCTGACGGAGGAGGCCCTGACGGAGGAGGACTCGGCTCGGGATCTTTGCGTTCCATGACTTCCAGGCGACGTGCCGTGCTTCCTACAGACCCCCACTTCTTGAGACACGCCCGTGCAGATTTAACTATTCTGGTTGTTATTGCAACGTCCGTAGCGTGCTTCGCTTTTGCTCCGGAGGCCGTCGCGTTCCCTACCAGCGGTCGCCCTTCTCATCCTCCTCGTCCGACGAGTCCAGCCTTCAATCAGCAACAAGGTAGGTCAACTTGCATTCTGCGGGCGGGCATGGGCCAAGAGCCGGACCCGATGCGATCCAAATCGCCCAGGTCAGGAAGGTCCGAAATCCACCTGAAGAAATACAGGAGTCACGCAAAGGAACCGCCGCTCTCAATATAGGAGCAGTTGTCCGAGGAGCACGCCGGCGGCGCCCAGGCAGGTTGGCCTTGATTGCCTGAAGGCCCGAAGCACGAACAGAGGCTCCTCATTGCTTCGCCCTGTTCATGCGCAGAAAGAGTCTTTGGCACTGCAGGCGGCTCTTTTCCTTCCACCAGAGGGCGGCGCGCGGAAGATCTGACGGGGGGATGGGTGAGGTGCGGCGGAGGCGCGGAGTTGCCTCCTCTCAGCCCTGGATGGCCTTCTGCGACGTCTGCTCTTGGACCATCTCTGCCCTGCCCCCAAAGACAGAGGTAGACATAAAAAACCGAGGCTCACGTGCTCTCGGGGCTGGGCATGTCGGCGATTGTCGGGTAGTCAAAGACCTTAACAGTCACGGCCGGCCGGGCGCTTTCCAAGCTGCACTCTGCTGACGTGTGCGAGGTCCCTGCCAGTGTCATGGGGAGCTTCATGCCAAGTTCCTGACAAAGCATCATTACAGAAGCTGCCAGAGGGCGATCGAAAGGCGACTCGAAGGACCCCTTGAGGCCTTGCTCAGCGTTTCTTGCATCACGATCGCGGAACTGCTTGTGAGACCCGCCTGGGACAGCGCTGTGACATCACTCGTCTTGCTCAAACGTCCATCCCACGTATTTGAAGCGCAGGTTGGCCTCCATGAGCGGTGTCTCCGTGTCGATTTCCTCAAGCTCCGTCCCAGTGACCGCAGAGACGATGTCGCGTACCTGGCATTCTTTGCCATGCTGGATTCCACATGATTCCTCTTTTGGACTTTCAGACCGCCTTCGCCATGACTGCCTCGGGGGTGATGGACGCCATGTCAAGCGCCGGCCTCGGCGCACCGGGCCCCGGCTGCGAGCAGGCCTCCGGTACAAAGGAGACAGCGTTCCTGAGAGCGCCGAGCCCAGTGGAGCGCTGCACGGCCCGCGCGGCGACCGGCGCGGCCTCCTCCAAGGAGCAGTCCGGCACAAACCCCCCGCTTCGGACAGAAGACGGCCTCCACTGGAGCATCGGCCTGCTGCAACCACCTCGGGAGTGCAGCGGCGGCACACACAAGCCTCTTCAAACTCGACTCAAACTCGACTGCAGGTACCAGACAAAAGCAAACAGCGTCCTTCCCAAGTGTCGGGCACTGGCGTCGCGTCTGCTCCCGGGATGGGTCCGGGTGCACCCGGTCTCGGCTCGCTGGGCCTCGGAACGGAAAAAACGACGGCATGGAGGCCTCGTTACGTGTCTGAAAGTCTCGTCATCTCAGGTTGCTGCCGGGCGGTGGCGATGAGGCTGGGGTGCTTCAGCAACTCAGCCACATTGCTCTTTCGTATGTAGTCTGATAGTAGTCAGTAGCAGTCATGAGGCTGTGCGAGACGGGACTGGTTCACACTAGCACGTGTGCCGCCTCTCACAGCAGGACTGTCGCAGTTGCTTGTCATGATGCGCGGCTCATGTTCGACTCTTATTCTTTATCTGCCGCCCGATGCCGCCGCGCACCCTTCCCTCAGCGGACGCAACCTGTCGGGCTAAAGAGTGCGCTGGGTCCTCACCGCACTGCCCACAGCGCCTAAATCCCACAAAGCCTAAACCGCCTTCAGGCAGCCGGGCAACGCTGGCCACACAGCTTCGGAAGGGTAAAAAACACTTGAGATTCGTTTATCGGTGTAAGGATTAGAAGGGAGCTCCATCAGCCCGCGCCCCGAGCACCTTTACTGCCCAGAATGCCTACATCTTCCACCTTCCGCAGCGACCCCACTTCCAGTCCAAGAACCCGCCCTCAGCAGCCATCAACACAGTGCATCCGTCACCACTATGCAAGGCTGCTAGATGGGCAACTCGTTCATACAAGGGTCACAACAAGTCGTCGAAGTCCTGACCCGAGAACAGGCTACTCGTGGAGTTTTCTGCTTCCTGAAGGATTGCCCTGGAAATTCGTGGCCGGCTTGATCGAAACCGTCAGGCCCCGACCACCCTCGCCCGCTCTTCGCCCTCCAGGTCCTGAGCCAGGCCACGGCGCAGGGCTATGTAGGGCATGACCTCTAACTCACGAAAAGCCCTGGAACATTCCGGCGTCATTCCGGTTCCGGATTTTTGAAGGCACGAAACTAGCTCTGCATCAGACTGAACTACATTCCCCTCACCGGAGCTGCGTCCTGGCAGTGCTGGTACAGCGTCAATGCCTCTGTCGCTGCCTGCACTGTCTTGTCAGAGGTGCGCGACAGCTCAAGTAAGGAAGGCCAAGTCGTCTGCGGTTCGTCTTTCAATTTTGCAGAGTTCTCCCGATTTGCAGCTCGCCTCTGCGGCTTCCCGTGCCCGATTCAAGGCCTCAACAATCACTGAAGATTCAAACAAAAGTCTTGACTTCTGCACCGGCAACTTCAGCCCAGCACGAGTACAAGATCCTGCAACGGCTGAGGTTTCCGCGAAGAGGTTGTCGCATGCGAGTAGGAGTGCATTGGCCTGAAGCTCCCTTTTCTTTGCAGAGTTCCGCGACGCAACTGCCGGATGGCGGAACCTCCAATCCGTACTCGTCGAGCTCCCGAAATCGAAGAACCTTGAGAGCTGTACGGTATATGCCATGCTCTGCCCTGGCGGAGTCTCTCAGGCCGAGCTCTTCAGCGCCCAAAAACCGACTCTGAGGCTTGCGACGGCCTCGTCGAGGCTGCCGAGCGCCTCCAGAAAGCGTCCTTGGAAAGTCAGCGCCTCGCGGTGCACACAACCGGGTTCAGTCTTCAGGGTTTCGGGTTTAGGGTTCAGGGTATACCCCCCCAAAAAAAAAACAAATCCCCAAAACAAAACCCGCAAATTCTCCCCGGAGCCCCCCAGTCGCCTGCGCCCGAGCACAGAGCAGCTGCCCGTGGAGCTCCGGAGCTGCCGTGTGCACCTTCAGCAGCTTCAGCCCGGCCTCCAACGGTCGGGCACCCCGCGGGGGGGGGTCAACGGCGCGCTTTTCTTTGCGTTTTCAGCGCGGCTGCGCTCCGCGGAAAGTCAGGCCTCCGCAGACTTCAAGGACTTCTCCAAGGCCTCGTGAGTCAGTGTGTAACTCGCAGGAGCTTTCGCCCCAAGGCAAGAACCCAGAGTCACAGCCAGTCGGCACCCCGCATCTCTAGCGGCCCGCGGCGCCGGCTCCGATGCGTCTAGGCTGGCGCCTCCACGCAAGAAACCCCCATCGCCCTCAGTCTCTGCGCGCTCGTTGGGCCTTCGCGAGCAGCCAGGCGTGCCGCATTTTCGGAAATGACACAGAGGCAGGCCACCTGAGCAAAGCGCAGGGAGGAATGAGGCAGAAGCGCGATAAACTAAAGGCAAGAGGAGCTCTTCTCAGCGAAGGGGCACCTCGTCTTCCGTCTGCTCCAGCTCACGGTACGCAGCTCGTGCCTGGGTCAGATTATCTCCGTGTGGAACACAGGGCCCACAACATCTGCCGGCGATCTTTGCCAGCGAAGCAATGAGGCCGGCGCTCGCTCAGCCCACGTCACAGCCGCCTGGCTTCACTTGTCGGAAGGTATCGCGGGATGATGGTGCATCAGATGCTGTTCCTCTGCATGCCCCCACCTTGTGGTCGGCTTTCCGCCAGAAGATCTTACCACACAGCAGCTTCGCATCCGCCTCCTCTCTCTTCTGCCTCTCCTGGCCAGGGAAAGATGCTTGTCAGGGAGCTGCACTCACATGCACTGCCCGGGTGCCTGGTGGTAGAGATTGCAGGCCTTCTTTGCGCTCTGGAAGGCCGTCTCGTAGTCGCCCATCTCCAGCCTGCCCAAGATGAGAGAAACAGAGGAAGCAATGCTGAGGGAATGCTGGGCAGCCGGCTCAAGCTGAGCGCATCGCAGCAAGGCCCTTGCCTGGCCCCTCGCCTAGGTGCTGCGGGAATGCTTCTCGATTCCCGGAACGGAGAGTTGGACTCAGCCGGCAAACATCACCAGCCATCGCGAAATGCTCGCGAAAGTCGGTGGCACGCGCTAGTGCATCCTCATTACAAGGCGAAGCCGACCGGCATCATGCTAGCCACGAGCCAAGCATTTCTCTTTGCACAGAGCTCTTCAGTCCTCGAGGTCGGTCGACTGGACCTGGGCATCGCAGAGCACCTCCATGGCATCTGCCTGAGCCGCAGTCAAGCCTTATAACCATCCTCGCGACGGCCTGTGCGTCTCGCGCGCACATGCCCTCTCTCCGTGCCTTCTCGGCTTGTGCGGTGGCCTTGGCTTCGTCCAGCATCCTCGGCGGCATAAAACAACCCGGATGCTTCCGACCTACATCTGCTGAGCTGCAAAATGAACTTGCCGAGCCCATCACGTCCATGCGTTCTCTGCCATGGTCTTGGCCTTTGACAAGTCAGCCCCCATCGCCGGAACTCCTCCGCTTGTGACCTCTATAGACTCCTGCTTCGAAGGAGGTATTTGAAGCTCCGTGCCCCCCCTCCAGCTCACGAGAGTTCTTGGTGTTGTGGGACCCACGATTGTGAGGGAGATCTGAAAGCTGAGAGCCATCGAAAGAGGCCCTTCCGGCCTTCTCGAAGTCGCCGGCCTGCCAGGCGGAGACTTCGGCTCTCAGACTCTCCCTTCGTATCTCGTCAGGATGACTTTTAGAGTTTAGGGTTCATGGCACCCTGTACAATGGCTTCTGCAGGAGCCCCAGGGTCATCAGCCCCCCTCTTCTCGCACTTTGGTGCTTTGGCGCCGGGAAAGGCATGCTGAATTTGCAGGCGGCTCACCTCGCAGAAGCCGGGGCTTCGCGAACTCGGGCCGCATCGCCATGAAGACATTCTCTGCACTGAGGCTTGAAGCGCCCGTCTGCATCTTCCATGCTCTCTCGGATGTAAATGGGCTCTTCGTGCGAGCCGGCAGTAGAAGCTGCCGCCAAACTTGATCAGCTCAGGCAAGGGGTGGGAGCCAACAGCCGCAAAGTGCACATCTCCCCTGCCACCAGACAGAGCATCACCGTATGATCTGTTGCAGCCTCCTCGTTAAGCACGACACTTGTGCTTTGCATGCTTCCAGCCCACTACCAGTCACGACTAACCTGACTAACCCTTGTCACCTAGATCAGCAGGTGACGCCAGGCTTTCCCGAGCTAAAACAACCCCGACTCCCCTTAAACTACTTGGAGGCCCTCCGATGCTACGGAGAGTCTCCAGCGGCAACACAGCGACCCCACAGGCCGTTCCTCGGGCCTGCAGGCGCGCCCGGGCCAGGCGGACGATCAGGGCCGCCTGCGCTTCGGTGGCTCCGATCTCCTGGCGGTGCCGCAAAAGTCTCGAAATAAGAGTGCTTTCGAGGCCCAAATTGAATTGAAGTCAGCAGTCCTTGCAAATGGGGATGCAGTCTTGTGCCGCGGAGGCCGCCTCCTGCCGGGAAACTCTGCCTGAGGTGATGGCTTTGGACTTGTAGAGTTCCGTGGTCCTGCAACCTGCCAAGTCGGAGCAGAACCTGTGACAGGGCCACAGGATGCCACAGGGAAGGAGTCCAAAGAGTCGCAGAGTCGCGCAGGCCCCGGCGGCCTCCACGAGCAGACGAACGACCTCCACCTCCGCCAACTTCTGGCCCTTCTGGCCTGCGGCAAATAAGCAGCTCCAGGCGCTCTCAGAAAAAAAGGGGGAGCTCCCAAAGCTGGCAAGTCCCAGGGGCGAAGTCGGCTCAAGGACTCGGTGCAGAGCCGCCGGGCGCGACGGGGGTCCACGGGAAGGAGGCCTCACAAGAAAAAGCAACAGCCTAGCGGCCTAGCGGCGAGCCAGAAGAAGGGAGGGAGAGAGAGAGCGAGAGAGACTCAGCAATCAGCAGCCGGCCTTCCACAAGGGCCCGCAGAGCTTGCGGCTCCTCGCTTTCTCCCGAAAAAGGGGCCCGAAGTTTTTGCACAAGGCACGTTCCCACCGCGAAGCTTCGCCTGTGGAGACTCCAGGTCACAGTAGATTTCCCAGGCTTCTTCCGCGTCCGAAATGGCTCGATCACGATCTCCAAGCTTGCCGTTCCACGCCTTACAACAACTCCGTGTCTCCACGAACGTCGCAACTGATCCCTGACTTTCTCTGCCCGAGGCTCCGAGAGCTTTCTCAAGGTGCAGGCCTCCAAGCGCTTGTCCTGCTTCTGCCCATCTGTGGAAAGGCTTTCGCATGCGGCATCCCGTCCTTTAGCTCTAAGGCCAAGTCCAGCAGCTCGTCGGCCACTTCAAGGGCATCTTCCGGGGATGCCATCATCCCCTTGCCGTCCACCATCAGCAGCAGCGACATCGCCTCGGATGCGCAGGAAGCGAGCGAACCCCGAAACGATCCGTGGGCTCTCCACTCAGGGCCTCAAGGCGACGATTGCCGAGTTCCAGGGCCATCTGCTTCGCCTGCACCGAGTTGCGGTGCTGGAAGGGGACACTTCCAGCGCCAGGCAGGCCGGGCCTCGCCGGCGTGCCTGAGCCCCATCTCCAAGCCGGCGAGGTCGCCGTCGCCCCTAAACAGGGCGCGACAGAGATGTACCCTGCGGCGGTGCCCCCGCCCTGCGCCGCCGGCCTCTCCATCTCCAGGGCGGCCAGGGCCAGCAGTGCTCGCGCCTGCCGCTCCCGCGCTCGTCATCGGACCCCTCTCTCCGCCGAGTGGGTGGCCTCCATGGCGCCGCTGAGCGCCCGCCTCGCCTCCTGCAGCCCGGCCTTGGCCTGTGCCTCAGAAGCGGAGCACCCGGACCTCCGCCCTCTTTTCGGAGCTTTCTCTAATGCCTCTCGCCTGGCTTCCGGCATCGCCCAGGGAGGCCTGCGCAACGCGTAATACAGAGCACGTGCGCAGACGGAGAAGCGTGCAGCAGGTCGGCCTCAGCCACTGACACCGAAAGTTTCGCGACAGCAGTGCGGTCTTCTGAATTCTCCTTCTCCTTCTACAAATGACATGCAATGACCATGCCAGAATCACAAACCTCTTGAGCAACTGAAGTGCCAAATCGTCCTCCTGCGCGAAGGCCAAAGCCTCGACGCGGCGTCCCTGATATTTTGTTCGGGATTCGCACAGCGACGATTCCCGAAAGAAGCGATGCCGCCCGCTCAGCTTCCCCGGGCCTGCCCGAGGAGGGACTTCACCACCACGCGTACCGCATCGACAGCACCTTCGGTGCTGCCCGCATCGCGGAAGCTCTGCGCCGCCCTCCTGAGACTCGACAGAGAGTTTAGCGGGGCCCCAACGAAGACCTTCTCTGGGGCGTCTTCTCGACACGAATTCTGCCAAGGAGCCGAGCTTCTGCCTCCGCTTCCCCGTAGCGCTCAGAGGCCAGCAATTCCTCGGCCTGCAGCAGGCATCCTTCTCAGAGGGTCTCTCAACCCACTTTCCGTTCCTCTCGGTCAACAGTCTCGTCCACCCCAGACGGCCCCCGAACCCAGTTCCGCTGCCTGGAGGAAGAGCTGTGCTCCGGCTCCTTCCTGGCTGCAGATGTCGGTGAAGATGTAAGAAATGTATTCTAAATGTCTGGATAGAGAGAGAGAGAGAGAGAGCGAGCGAGAGACGGACAGAGAAAAAAAAGGAAGATAGGGAGAGACGGAGAGGCAGAGAGAGGCAGATAACACAAAAGAAACATGTCCACAGTGGAGTGCATGTCCCCGTCTATCTTTAAATGGCGCTGTGTAGATCCCAACCACCAGTACCCCTGTCTCGGCATTTTGCGGCCTTGGCTTTGTAGAGCTCGCTCAAGTCATCGCCCGAAGCCTCTTGTATAGGGGCAGTAGAGTAGCTACTTAGGTTCACATCCCACACACGACCCTGCAACATGTTCATAGGGATGAGGCAGGATTTCGAATTTAGAAAAGGACTAAATTCAAAATTATTCCCCTCCCGGGCGGGGCGTAAATATCGCATCCAGATGGCTTAAATTCGGATTTAAACCTCTGAACCAGGCAGCGGCCACCAGTCCAGCGCCACGGGGGGGATTTAAATTCGAAGTTATGCCTTTCCACCGCTTAGGGTTAAAAGCCGAATTTAAGCCACAGGCAATCGACGAAGATTTGTCTACATACATAAATACGTTAAGTTTGAATGTTGTGAGGAAACCTTCAACCCTGTCGAATTGAAATAGTGTAAACCCTGCTAAGACGGTGCCCTGGAAAAGCGGTTTTTTCTCTTGGGTTTCAATTCCTGTAGTCTCTGTCGAAATTCTCGAGTCTCTTTCGAGCGGTTTGCTCCTGTTTCTGAAACTCTCTAGTTCTTTGCGAGCGGTTTGCTATTTCAGTCTCTCTAGTCGCTTTCGACAGTCTCTAGTCTCTTTCGAGCGGTTT